GAGACACACTTAAAGATCAATAAAGGAGAAAGGAAAGAAGCAAGGGGACGGTCGTTTCTCATATTTTGTGGGTCTCTAGACCCACTGGGAGAATGTAATTACATTAGAAAACAATGAAGAACTGGATTGTGGATAACATGGCCCCTTTAAGAGAAGTTTTGAGTAATGGACGAGGAAGACAGGATAATAAGAGGAAGAATCAGAGACCTGATACCCCTGCTATTTTGCTCTGCACCAGACCTGTTTGTTGTTGGACATCCTGCTGACTTAAACACCTGGTACACATTACTACATCTACACTGCATGTGTGTGTGTGTGTGTGTGTGTGTGTGTGTGTGTGTGTGTGTGTGTGTGTGTGTGTGTGATCTGTAAGTGTGTGAGAAGAAGAAGAAGAAGAAGAAAGAGATAAAAGAAGGAGGAGACGGACAGATGGAGGAATTGAGTGAGGGCTGGAGTTTAGTTTTTGTGAATTCCCATGTGTGTTTCCATGAGAGGGAGAGCGCTGACGATGTGACACAAACCATATGTGTTGGGGCAACATCTGCCTGGTGTGTGTTTGTATGTGTTCAGCAGAGAGACGCTGAGCACACGGACACATATGAAAGTCATGAATACCTTTACCTGTTGTCTAATTTATTTCATACCTCAAAGGCACTCCACTCACTCGAGGAGTAACCTTAGGGAAACACACCACAAAAGCTCCCTGTGCTCAGAGTAAGAGAGGATGTTTTTAAAAAGTAATTCCATGAATAGTTTTTAACTTCATGCAGATCAATCCATAAAAAATATTCAACTACCTTATTATTTTTTTACGTACATTTTTTGCTTTTTCCATGTGAAATAAAGAATTGCTGCGAGCCCCCTAAGTGAAATAGATAACATGGGAAATTAAAGTGAACCTCTAGCTTCACAGTTCACCACTTTGCGTGGGCGGGTGTGTGACAGCGAGGGATTAGGCCGACTATGTGCTGCACATGCTAAAGCTCGGTGAGAACAACTTGTTTCAGCGCCGTTCCAAATCTGTGTAAGGACCCAAAAAGGAGTTGAGGGAAAACAATACGAGTCCCCAAATTATTCAGTAAAAGTCTCTGTCAGAAGTTATTGAGCATGTTTCACTGCCAGAAGACTTTATGAGATCCTGCAGTGTAACCCAGGCTCAGAGCAAGTCACATTTTGTTAGATTTGTTTTACTAATAAGGTTTAGAAACTTAAGAAAAATGTGGCTCCTCAGAGGAACAGCCTGACAAACTGTGCAAAGACATGCTTTGTCTTCAAAAGATCAACAGCTAATGACTAGTGTACTCACGGCTACTTCCTCCCCTCTGATTTTCTCATTTCCCTTTTCTCAAGACCAAGTAGCCACCTCCAGTGCCAGCGCGATAGCGTAAACGGCCACTTGAGGCCAACTCAAGCAGTGAGTCAATCCGCATAGACCTCCGTGTAAAAACGCCCAACAGAAATAAACTTGTTTACAAGAAACAGTTTTGGTCTCTACGGCTAATTTCCCACGATCGTGAAAATGAAATGAAACAGTCGATGGTCTTTGCCAGGGCTGAGCAACGGCAGGTGGCTGTTATCAGCCTATACTGTAGATATGTTGGTAATAAGTCAGAAGGGTAGAAGTAGGGATCGACTGGTATTGGTTTTTAAGGGTCGATGTTGATGCCGATTACTGTTAGTCAAGACAGACCAATAACCGACATCTGGAACCAATATATGTTTTAAGTCATGTTTTAACAGCATGTGATAGCAGAGAACCTGTCATTCATAACTAGGCTTCCTCATCAATAAGGGAGACTATAAAAGAATATATAAAATAGAAATAGGAGGGAATAAATTAGGACACTCTGCTTTAATAGTCAGCCCGGGGCCACTCCATTGGTCTCTGGTTGTGTAGAAGTCTATGAGAAAATGGGTCCTACTTCTACTTGATTGGTTCCCTCAGTAAACATGTTTCCAGTGAGTCTATGGTCTCAGTCGCTATAGATCCATGTCCTCTTCAATACAGCAAACTGTTCACTGTGTAAATTATGATCCCATTTGAAGTAAGGAGCAGAATAAAGCACCTTCTGACTGCACTGGCTTGCAAAGTGACTTCAGTTTCTCAGTCACATCCTTACCTCGCTCATTAGGTCTGGTATCATAATGCAGGATGACAGCTTCAGAATGGTAGTTCCCAAACCAATGGATGACATTATAGCCGCTCCATCCTTTAATAAACATTCTATGGGGGACGCCCAAATCATGAGGCTACGTCACATGTTGCTGATATATTTCAATCTGGCTAACTTCAGCGTGAGCAAAAAGTTTCAAACAATATCCAATTGTCCGTGTCTTTGTACTTTACAGTAACCTTCTGTTGGGACATGTGGTGAAATAGAGCAGAGCACAAAAGCACCGAGGTCATTTTTAGCAATAATAAAGCGGTCTGTGTAGAGTTTATAGTACTCCCAACGTGCATAATCAATAAAAAAACAGCAAGCGCTAAACATCTCCCACATATCCTGTTAACAAATACACACACCTTGAGAGCATTAAACAGTGTTGGACTTCCTCTGCTGTGCAATTCATTATTTTGATTAATCTTGGCAATTATGGCCGAGGACTATGATGTGAGCTTCTCTCTACTAATTTATTTTGGTTGGCCTTCCACGGTGACTTTTACAAATTGGGCTGTATCCACTTTCAACAGACTGTAAAACAGTAAGAATTAATAACTTTGCAATTCAAACAAGCAAGAAGAGACGCTCTACATGTCTGTGCAGCATCAAGCCGTCTGATAGGAACATTGCGGTTCGTGCAGCGTCGGCCTCGGCTGGCTCGTTTGACAGACTGTTGTTGGACCACGGTGGTATTCACACAACAGCAAACCGTGGTATCAACGTTCAGACATTTATTAAGCTAGTAAATATTTTCCATACCTTTGCTAAAGACCGACAGCAGGAAAAGAAACAAAGGACGAGAGAAAAGGAAGGAAATCAAGGAAAGAACGGAGAGAGATTAGTTTGGGTAAGGTCAAAGGAGCTGTGTGTTTGTGTTTTGTGTGTGAGGCGGTTGTGCGGGTAAGTACAGCTGAAAGTTGACGTCTGATGTTTCGCTTAGTGTGCTATCCCCTGCACCGGGATGCTGGTGGAGGTTTCCGGGGGGCATGCTCTTGGCTGCTGTTGACATTAACCCCTGGTGACCCCATTATTCACGCGTACACACTACTGGAATACACGCTACAGAAAAAAAAAAGAAAAAAAAAAAGCTCTCACCGTGCCTGTTTCTAGCTTTTCACTTATCCAACTGTCATGTGAATTTGTAGCAAAGCTGGGCGATGTTGTAAGAGGTAAAATACGAGTCAGGTGTGTCTCCAGCTGGGTGGAAGCTTTTAGATAGGTCTGAACCTGAACACAGAGTTCAGAAAACACATCAATAAGAAGCTAGACAGAATCTTTCAAGAAGTCATTAATACTGAGTGAGTTAAGGTCAGTAAGTAAAAGGTCACGGCGAACAGATATTTAACAGACTTTTTTTTGGCTACAGATAACACAGAATCACTATTTTTTTTTTGTCAAGCCATTAAAACATTTTCTAACACTGCAAATATTTCCCTGAGATTAGGTTTTCATCGTTCAGCCTCTCTGATTTATAATATGATCATTTAACGTGGACACCCAGGCTACGTGACTGCTGTGAGAGCAGTGGTCTGAAACACCCACAGTAATGTCCAGAAAGCTGCAACAAGCTGGAACCGCTGCAGAGTGGACAGACTGGCAGCTAAAAATACTCCCGCATGGAAACTCCTCTTGAATCGAACAAAGAATTAGCGCGCACTCACCGAGGCCTCCTGGCAGGCGGCGCTAAGTGAATACACAGGGGCTAATTTCTGCTCCATGGAGGACGGATAATGGGGACATAGAGGACGACGTTATTTTAACGGAAAACAACTTTTGCTATTACAGGAGCCGTGGTGGCTTTAGAGATTCCATAGAGACGTTAAGGAAGGACAGGCTCACGCTTTGTTTCATTCGAGGCGGACAAGATGCTCGGCCCGATGTTGTGCCGTTGTGGCATCCAGTTGGATATTTTATAGTGTCAGGATAACTCTGTTGTGTTTTCTGAAACTTGTGCTTCCCAAAATTAAAAAGAAATGCGTTCAGATTTTAGTTCACAGCTCGTTACCGTGACAGTTAGCTGATAGCATAGCACAAAAAGAAAAAGACTTTATTATGGTTATTTTTTCAAACTTCCCACCTAGAACTGCAGCAGTAGCTCCTTATGTTGTAGTAAAATTAGATACAGAGCAAAATCGTAGCTCCTGCCGTACAGCACAGACAGAAATTTATAAAATGTAAAGTTTACATACAGTCTGTGACATTTTCTGTATACTATAGGAGCACATACTTGTTGAATCATTATGTGCTGAACACTATTTTCACTGTAAGAGTCCAAAAAAAATAGAAAATGCTTCCAAACTTTTAGGCATTTTTAGTGAAAATGGGTTTGAGATCAGGCAGAAGTGTTGGTCCTGATCTTCATGGGATCTGTGCATTCATATCCGAGGACCAAAAAAGCCCCAATAAGGTCAACAACTTATTTTAGCGTCTTTCTTTGGAAGTTTTACAGTTATTTATAGTGTCCAACCTCATCCCTGCTAATGCTGCTGCAATTATTGGAAGTCCTGGACCCATTTGTTTGTGCAAATACTTTAAACGGTTAGAGAGAGCAGTGCAGAAACAAGGATGAGAACCCTCACCAGATTCTCTCCCAAGTCTGACTTTGTTTTTGTTTTTGTTTTTTGTCCAGATGCACAAACAAGTTGGAGGCAATTTTAACAGGACGCTGGTCTTTATCGCTGCACCAGAGACTTGATTAGAGAGTTATGGTTGAAGTTCTGATGATGAAGATTAGTGTGAGGTGTGGTTATGCACACAGCAGTGCTGGGAGGTGTTTGGTGAACCTGAAGCTAATAAATGACCTCATCGTAGTACAAAGCTGTGAGCGTGTCTGCTTACCTGGGCGCAGCGTCGGTGGTTTTCACACCAAACCAGAACTTGGTCACTCTGGAAGAGACACAGAGGATGTGGATGGATTAGTTCAAACACACACACACACACAGAAATAAATCTTTCACAAGCAAATCCTGTGTTTGACATATTTTTCCAACTTTTGACCGACTCATGTGAGGCTACTGCCGAACATACAAGAAGAAAGAAAGCAAAACATTGTTCATGAAAGGTCACTGACTAAATTACATAACTAAAGCAAACGTGACATGCGCACACACACACACACACACACACACTCAACCTTTCTTTACATAATTATCGTCTGGGTGAAAAATGACTTCACACACTGTGTTTGCGGCTGCAGAACCAGACAGTGACCACGTCATTTGGTGAGATGTGTGCTTGTGTGTGTATCTGTGAGTTTGTATGTGTCGGTGTGTGTACACTTAATGGCTAAGTGAGTCAAGACCACCAGTAAACATGACTGCTACAACCACTGTGACAGAGGGAGACGTCACATCACCACCACAGGGACAGAAATACAGATGAACCAAAACAACACCAATTCATAATCGCTCTCCTGAACTCCTTCAGGTTCCTTTCCGGTCAGTGAAGAAACCTTTACAAACTTATCTCTGTGAACCACTTTCTATGAAAATAATCCCTTCCTGCCTTAAAATGACGTGGAAGCACCTCTGTTGCTTTGTCTTCTTTCCACTCACTGCTGCTGAAGCACACCAGCTCACCTTCGACTTTGCTCAAACACATTCTACGCTACACAACGGCAAGCTGGACCCGAAAACTGATTTCAAAGAAGAAAAAGGAGAATACAGAAAGTCCCACCTGGTAAGTTGAGAATTAGTTGCTCAGGTTTGCTATGTATGAAAGCGCAGAAGTCAGATGAAAAAAATTAGAAGAGAAAGAAAATACAGTCATGACTCGATAATCGACCCTGAACAATCCTAAACCTGCTATCCGACAGGTTTTTAGGAAAAACCAACAGAACCCATAAAAACAGCCTTAACATAGCGACAGCCTTGGATTCTGACTCCGACATGACATTTAATGTCACCAATCAGGATGACGGCGTATTATCTGACTGAACAATCCCACAGATTGGCTACGTTCACACTGCAGGACTTGATGCTCAATGAGGATTTCTTTGTGACTTCCTTCACGTTTCCAGTTCAATGCGACTTGTATGTGATCTGCTGTGTGAACTTCATACGACCCAAAAGTGTCCCGCATGCGCAGAAGAGGACACGACGACGTCACACGCAGCGAGCGTGCTCAGTGTTTACGGAAGTAAACATGGATGGTAACGGTGGAGCGTATCTGCCACTCCCCCGCCGCCACCGATGGAGGAAACAGAAGTGTGAGCGCTAACTAAACTAGCATCAGCAGCCAAGTACTGACTGTGTGTTCTGGACACTTCCACCCCGTCGACCACGCTGAATGTTCGGATATTCATCATTAACTGGGCCTGAATAGCCAGAAACCAGAAAGTTCTATTGGGACCAGCCCTACTAGTTATTATAACAACTATGAACAATAAATATTAACAACAAACGAGCCTTCCAGCATCAAGCCCTCCTTGTATCTGGACCTCCGTCTTGACAATCCAACATAAAAGAAGGTTTTACATTTAGTGTCGGATTATCGAGTCACGACTGTCATAATCACTAACACGCTGGATCATGTAAAACTGATCGCACTTAATACACCAAAAGGTTTAAACAAAGCAGAATACAACATTGTCTGAAAGGTGAAGCTTCTATCCTGTAAAACAATACTCCTTATTTAAGCACAACCAAAGTACACAGTCCAGACAACGAGTGAGCACAGTTTAGGACTATTTTATTAGTAACTAATCTATTGACTGTTTAACGACTGATTCTACCAGATCACAAAAATGGTAACAGCTTTTTTTCCTACTACATGCAGTATATAAAACCAGAAGCACATTATGTGATGACTGCCTTAAGATTCTTTTAACTAATTAATCAAGACAACTATGCAAACGACGGTTGGTTTCACAGTGCAAACATTACTGCTCGTTTCTTGCATGCACTCGCAGCCCCTTTCTGAGCCCCTGCAGCATCTCTGAGCGAACCGTTAACTTTTTATTAGACTTTTTCAGCAGTAATTCAGGGATTTTGAATCGTTTTAATGCTTTAAAAGGCAGACTGAAAACTCTGCCAGCTGTTTTGAACTTCCTTCCCCGAGACAGTCAGTCAGGCTGCTCCTCTTCTCTCAAATGCTTTATCATCAGCGGCGGCACAATCACGATGCCATTATGCAACACGAAAACAACTATTAGAATACTTGCGAGTGCATATTTGCGTATCTGCCTCGTTGTCAGGTGTGTGCGTCTTCAGAAAGCGTAAGCCTCTGGTGTGTGTGTGAGTGTTGGATAAGCCCCTTTAACGACTCTTAAACCCTCTCCTGAGTGAGCTGTATTTAGCCTGAACCAAGCTCATCCACACACACACACACACACACACACACACACACACCCTTTTCAGGGCTTTTCCTCTTTAAGTAGCCATTGTGCTGCTGGTGTGATGAGGGTTACGGGGTTAGAGTCGGGGTAACAGTGCTGAGGTTAAAGGGTAGAGATTAGGGGTTAAGGGATTTCACGGGACAGAAGATGCCGCATTGACTCTTCCACTCTGAACATTCAGCACAGATGCAAATTGGCTGTTTTTGGTGAAACAGTGGCAGCAAAAACAGACTTTGATGTAAGGACGGTTTCTTGTATAGCCTCCAAGTGTTACCGTGATGAAGCTACTGCCACTGGACCAGACCTGGATTTTTGCCAGAGCTTAAGAAGGAATTAAGTCTGTGACATACTTTTAAAGAAGCGTTCAGACGGGCCGGTCAGCACAGCTAAACGCTCCTTTCTGACATTACGACGGGGAACGATGCCTATCCTGAGTTTTCTTTCACATTTCCAAAAGCAACAAACTGTAAGCCACACCAGATTTCTCCAGAGATTGTCCGTCGAGCGTATGTGTGAAAATGTTCAGTTCACAAATTTTGTTTGCCTCATTCCTCTCATACTCTCCATGTGCGCTGCTCCAGCTGCTTACTATTGCCTCGCTTGTCCAGCTGTTGGCAGCAATGAAGAATTAGTCAGCTTCCCAAAAAGAAAGTGAGACTCAGATGAAGATTTTCAATAAAGGGTCATGACAAACATGTTCAGATGGTACCAATACAACAACATGTAAAGTAAAGATTATTGGACAGATAAACAAGTGTTTTCCATGCCCATGCCAGAATGCCTTTAAAACTAAATGAGCATTGATTGGGTAGACACCCTTGGCTTACTAGTAATCTGTGCTAGTTGTGAAAAGGGATAATGCTAAAAGCAGCCTCCAACAGAGAGAGAGAAGAAAGCAACAGAAGTAATGGTTTAACCCCTGATGAATAGATTAGTAACAAGTCCGTGGGGATGGATGAAAAGAAAGAACAGCCGAGAAGAGAAGCAGAGGAGCTGCTGTCATGGTATCACTATGGAGAAGGCTTTCCTCCACCGCCCACGTTTCCAGCTTCCCGCCCTTCTTCAGGGACTCTGATTAGAAAAAACTGATGTTGTCAAGGTGCGAGTGATTGCAGCACAAATACCCCAGTTGTTACTATATCAGCGAGAGGTGGAGTCTCTTGAACATTAAAACGTATTAATCAGCAGCTGAGAGGCAGCCACGCTCTCCTTCCACTTGTAGTGTACGACAGCATAGCTGGAAAAAAGAAAAGCCAGAGCCTGGAACACTAAACAGACACTAATTCTCCCCTCCAAGTGTCACCAGCTTCACATTCTGGATCCACAAGTCAGGCAATGAAACACACAGAACAGGCGATTACTGTGATGCGGTCATGCTGCAAACAGGCCTCATGTTCAGGACAACGTCAGGCTTCAGAAAAAAGAAAAGAAAAGGCAAAAAACTTTTACAGGTTTACGTTTCTTCTTACATTCAGCGTTACTCACCAAAAACCTCACTCCTTACTTTCTTGCTTGCTTGAGGTCTCATAAACATGCTTCCCTTTCTCATAAAACATTTCTGAACGTTTAAGAAACTACACGGTTCACATTCATGTTTGCTTGCTAACAGCCTTCTTCGTTTTGTGTACGGTAAATACCATCACGTGACGATGAGTAGGATAAAGTCAAAGCAGTAGCAGCAATGTGTATCTATGTCTAACAAACCGATAAAAACATTGTGCTGTTAGAAACTACTTGAAGCCCTTCACAAAGCGATCTAGCGGGCGTGTGTGTTTGCGTGGATGTGATTGTCCGACGCAGCACGTGTTGGATGACGAAGCGTTTTTACTGGATGACTGCGTTGTTATGCTGGAGCCCTGTGCACTGGCACCCTTGCTGCATTTACGGACCGGCTCCTTTCTAATTAACGACAAGACTGTGTTTTTTAAGTGAAACCGCTGTCGGCCTCAATACGGCCCGACGTTTCTTTACATTAGCGAGGCAGGATTTGCACAAAGTGCTGCAGCAGTGGAGCGAATTCCACTCAGACGTCCTTTTAAACAACACGTTTGTGATGTTCAGTGAACTGCAGGAGTTATTTTGTGATGGTATTGAATAATTTGCTGCTTTTTACTACTTTGGCTTCTGTTCCTCACATTTCCCAGAATGTCTTTTTAGAGCTGCCAGATGAATGTACCTGAACTTCTACATTTTACGGTGGGTTTTATTGAAAGACTCATAATGACAAGATTATGGGTGAGAGAGTATTACAGCTGCACTATAGTCGGGTCTATAAAGGTTTCTGTAAGTGCAAACTCTTTGCTTCTCCCTGTGTGACTGTTGAACACTGGAACAGAATTATAAATCCACTATAAACCTGTCGGGTGTTTGCTAGTTCGGTTTTGTATCAGGCAAAGGTATTACTGTATGATATGGTCTTGTTCTTCTAATGAAGGACGCGCTATGATTAGAGGTGGCTTTCTGAAACCATTTCACTGTTGTAGCTGAAGGATATGACATCAAATGGTTCTGAATCTGAATCACACCCACTTTAAACCTAAAATCCACATTC